ATGGAGAATAGGCCAGATTTTCATCATGATTCAAAGAATTCTTGGTCAATATTAAGCGACGATGTGTGAAGTCTAACAAATCCAAGCGAGATTCTTCAACAGGAAAAAAGCACATTTTTTCCTACGAATATGAAACCAAAGCTAATTGCAGAATTATATAAAAATGCTTATACCTTCTTTCAGCCCCGTTCTTGTAGAAGCTGACGCAGATTTAGAAGATGCAGCTAAGAAGATTGTTTACTCAAAAACCTTCAACTGTGGACAAATCTGCTTATCGTCAGATTATGTGAGTCAACTATGGGTGATAAGGGGAGAAGGCTGCTTTCTTATTTGTTTACAATTAAGCAATGGTTTAAATGCATGCTCTTACCAGGTCCTCACGACAGAAGAAGTGAAACCAAAGTTGGTTGCCGCTTTGGAGAAAGCGTTCGGCGCCATGGAGCCTTTGAAAGAGAACAAAGCGTATTCTCGTATAGTTACTGAGAGACATTTTGAGTAAGTTTTATAGGTTTTCATTGATTTATCAATTTGCGTTAACTTACTCCAGTAAGCAGAAAAGCCCGAAGTTTAGAGAGATACTGTAGGTTCGATTAAAATAGTTGTCTAGTTATCTAAGATTGGAATGTTCAATACACTTGACGTTTCCACGTTAATCTTCTTCTTCAGAGGTCTTTATTTTATCAAATTGTGATAACCACGTTCATTGAGTAACGAATATAAAACTATTTCTTTCTATAACTCCAATATTAGAAAGCTTAGGTCGAAGCAGCCCATTCGTACACAACTGGCGTGTCGAACGCAGCCGCACTATCACGCGCGCGTTTCTTTCGAGTGTATGCTTACATACGAATCGATCAGTTGCTGCGTTTGCGAATATGAAGCTGCGGCGCGCATTATTATAGTGGACTTAGGAGCCAGCTCCTTTTACGCAAATTCTACATATATACTTAGATACATAGATCTTCTATGAGTATAATTTACAAGATGAGAATTACGTAGGGAAAATAGGAATGTCCTATATTCCTAGCAAAGTGTCCGACTTCAGCTTTTTCTTCCTCCACTTTGTTGAGGCTTTTAAATAACTCTTATAGTCGACTTTCAACATTGCTGTCCAACACGAAAGGC